AATCGATTTTGATTGGTACAAGCCAATTCCTCTCTCTTAAATCCGTACTGTCTCTTAAATAAGTTCTCTTCAACCGTACAATTTGTAGCCGCTACCGCTCCGTTATTTTTCGCACGCGCGCTTCGCGCGCGGAAGAAACTCCTACAAAAAAACTTTTGCACACATAACACCACATTGAGCACCAAAGCTGTCTTCAACAAAGAGGTTGCTCGAGTACACACGCCTGTGTGCATCAGCGTGCTCCTTCTCAGCTGTCGTATCTTCGGAGAGGCTCCCCCTGGTTGACACCGTCATCCTTCGGAGCAGCCTGTGCATCTCGTTCGCGCACGAACGAATAATTCCATGGCAGTTTTAATACTGCTGTGTAGTGTGTAAGACGTCTTTGTTGCCCACAGGCTACTACGCACTTACCGCAAAAGGTTGGGCTCGGTGATCCAGGCCTAGCCTTGCTTGTGATGAACAAGGAGTCCTCCGGAGGTTCTCTGTTGGTGACGCGCGACTGTAACACTCCGGCTCTGCCTCTTCTTTGCGCCGGCGTGTGTGCCTAATACTCTCTGCTGTGCATCTTACCTTCAGGGAAGAGGAAGAAAAGAAAAAAATGGCGCTGTTCCGGGGTGTTCTTGAGAAATTTCCCAGGGCCGCTCGCGAACAACAGCACCAAGTTTTCGGGGAGATGCCGACCGGGGGTTGATGCAACTGTCAAGAGTTGCACCACTTACCACACTGCGGCACGAAGCGGGTCCAGATTTAACATATGTGTATGCATACATATCTCACCACCTCCTGCTTTGCTATGGCCTTGGCAGCGTGGACGAGTGTGGGGAAGCGCGAAACAGATCTACGTACGCTTTAGAAGTTCCGGTGAGGCTTTCGGTATCCAATATAGATAGGATGGTCCCACAGGAACGTGTTTATTTGATTCTGAAAGTTTATCATCCAAGCTTCAGAGCTCTGCTCTGATCATGTATAGCATCTATATTATGCTTTTGTATACGTACAGCAGTAGGCAGAATTTGCCAGGTACTCCCCTAAAGGAACGAGCTTTCATCCATCTGCTACAGTAACATACCGCATTTCAATCTACTACCGTTCGAGGGCGAAACGGCTGCAAGCGTCCATGGAGAGTCTTCAGCCTACAACGATTCCGCCGTGTCTCCGACGTTACTCAATCACCGAAAGAGTGCATGATGAAACCTTGGAGATCGTACCACAGCAGCAGTCCAAGGGAGGTGTGAAGTTTTCGGAGCGAGTGGGGGGAGGAAGCGCTTTCTTCTTAGTCTCGCAATTTCGAAGAAATGTTGCATCTGCTTGTGGGCTCCAGTTTACATTGTCGGTTGTGTACACATCCAGTGTGTTCGACGCACAAGTCGGGAAAATAATACCGGAGGAATTCTCCGTCTTTCCTCCTGCCGTGCACTCCTTGATTGTGAACGCGAGGAGGATTCAGAAACAAGACCCTTATTTTGTCGTATGTTCTTCCGACAATGTGTCTTTCCACTTGCACATTGTGGGGGGGGGTCACGCCGGAGAGATTCGACCCCAAGTCTAGAGAAGAGCAAGAACAAAACTCAAGGTTACCAACATTCGTCGTGTGATAGAGCTCTATGCATGAAATTTACCTCCTGATACACAGAGTGCATACGACGGTTTGCACTTCACCACCACCGACTACCTCCACATGCAGCGGGCGACGGACAACACCCAAGCCGATGAGGTCCGATCGTTCCTCTCACTGGAATCGATGTCCTCCGGACGGACATGCCGATCGGTGCGGGGGTGAAGTACATACGGAACGCACTCGCGCACCATCCACCTTCTCCGCCAGCCAACGCCACTGAGACCATCTACTTCATTTCCGCCGCACATCTGGGCTCTTTCTACGTCTAGCCATCTCTGTCCCTTGCGTCTCCCACCTCCGACCCGGGTGTTCTTTTACTAGAGACGTAAGGCAGTCCCGGCTGCCGTGAAATCAACACTACATATACCGAGGAAAGCCAAATTGGCGCTCGTCTGTTTCTCGCCCAACACCTCACCCCTTACTGGTGGCCTCTCTGCCCGTTTCCGTGTCTCTAAAACTGTTCGCCCCATGTTGTAATGTTTCAGCCGCATCAACTTCTAGATGAACGTGGTCAATGAACTTGCTGCTGGTCCGGGATTGCTCACAAAGATCAGTCTTCCAAAACAGCGGCGACGGCCGGCCTGTAATACGAATACTTGGAATCAGACAGACTGCACAGAAGAATGCTTGGCGAGGCGAGACGCGAGGCTTTCAATCGGGCCATGCGTGTGTCCGTACCGCATAACCAAGTCCGGGAGCGCTCCCACCCGCATCCATCAACCACAGACCCACGACCGCGTTCGCCGCCACCGCAGCGGCTATCAGTCGAGACACGCAAGCCCAACCCCACCCCAAGAAGCAACACGGCGCGAATTCGAACAACGAACAGCCAGGGGCTACAGCAAGGTAAAGAAGAAGGGCCGCACGGACTTCCAACGCGCCGAGCGAAGTCGTCATTTCTCGCGGAATGATTGATACCACCCCCGTTTTAGCCAAAAAACATGTACCACAGGCAGGGGAACAAACATGACGTCCGAGAATATTTCTTTCATGTGCTTCCGAAACGTACACCCAATGAGAGGGATAAAGAGCAACACCTAGCTCCCGCCGTTCGCGGAAACTCTTGATGAACGAACGGGTCGGTTTATCGGGATGGTCGTTACGGTGAAACTCGAGGGGCCGGCCACCAAAAACCAATTAGCCAAGAACGACCTAAGTCCACACCGACGAACGCCGACTTCCCCTCGCGCTGGTTCTGAGGTTCAGAACAGGCTTAGAGGACCTGGGTGACTTCTGGGAAGGGTATTAGGGTGATGAGGGAGAAGAACAGCAGGAGGCCCGTCGTGACGATTCGCCCATCTCCCACCTCGGTTAGCTCGTCCTGACGAACCACAAACAGAAACAGCAGAAAGAAAAAAAAAATGACGGGCAAACAAACATCNACGACATCGCTGTTGGCAAACAATGCCCTCTGCCCCTCAACAAATTTGCGTTTGGAATAACGCCGGCAACAGCAACGCATCACCGCGCAACAACACTTCATCATCTCTAGACAAACGGTGTACGCCTCGCTTCGCCGCTTGCCTATGAACGAACCCTAGCCCAACCTCGAGGGCAAAAGATGTTGAGCACCAAAACACCACCCATGACGAGAGCATCACAGAAGGTCGCTTGCTACGCCCACAAATACGATTTCTGAGGGCATATCTTGAAGCCGGGTATATATATAAATGGCCCCGTTCATGCAGAGCTTCCTCCGATCCGAGGTCCGCTATGATCCTTTGAACGGATTGGAATTGTGTGGTTTGTGACGGCGGGACGAACGGAACGGGACGTCGTCATTGTTGTTGTTGTTGTTGTTGTTGTTGTTGCCTTGTCATGAACAAATGACTGAGTTGTCTCTGCTCGGTACCTTCCATTCGATACCCTCCCGTCCCGGTCTTGTTGAAAACACCGCGGACACCTCGATCTGTGTTTACTAGCGAACCACCGCGAAAAAGGGCACGCATGATATATCTTGCTTGGCAGACAAGTTACTTGCTCATGTAGATAACGTTTACGTGTAGAGGATGAGAACGCACAAAAAATAGAGATCAGACAGCCTGGGGATACTCTGAAACAATTCTCCGGCTGAAGAAAATGAACAGAAAAGTCACACCCTCGCGTTGTTACCAGCGGGAATATCTACTGGCCGTCCCCCTTGAGCGAAAGATAGCGCTGGCTACGCTTAAGTACTCCGCGCAAAATGTACGTATGTAAAGGCAGCAACATACAACACACACGTATCGTACACAACACTACTGAGATTGGGGGAGGGGGGGGGGGGGGGGNGGGGTACGAGACTTTAGGAGACTCTCGCTGCGTTCCTCGAGCGATAACCCTCGTTACGCAAGTAAGGAGCCCGTCGCACAATACACGTAGCTAAAGAAAGCACCACACATGACAAAATGTTTTGTACACGACAACACAGCTGGGCCCGCGGGCCCGAGAGTGGTGGTGGGGACGGGGCGGCTGGAGACTCTTAATAATGCCCGACATCGCCGTAAGAAGAACCGACTACTGGGTGGACCGGCGAAAGACCGCAGTTGTTAACGACGTTTCGTGGGAACGACAAGGATGTCGCTTTCTGCCGCCGCCGGTCTTCTTCGGGGGACCCTGCTGGTTGCGCTGCTGCTGGTTGTCCTCTGTGGGGGTTACGTTGGGCTTGGCGGCGTTTTTGGCCGGGCGGGGTGGCTCCGTTGGGGTCACGGTCGGAGTGGTCGGAGTGACGGTGTTGGCCTTTTTCCTGTTGCGCTATTCGGCGGAGGTGTTGGCCGCTACTCGGATATGCCATCGTATCTAAATGAGTTGTACCGAAAACTTTTCCTATGTACACCCACGCCGACCCCGATCTCTGCAACCCACCGGACGCCGGTACCGGCACCGCAGAGATGCAGTAGTCTATATGCGTTAGCTACTTCGATCGAAAGGGAATCACGACCCTCCGCGCCGCCCAGACTAACACGGCTGCAAGTTGAACGGCGTCCAGGTCGTCCCATGAGATTTTTTTCATCGGAGTTAGGCATGATGTGTTCACGCATGATTTTTTTGATCCGCAGCAGACAGATCAAGGAGTGCTCGTAAGTTACGAGAACTTCGCTGATCTATCTGTTGAGGATCAGGCAAATCATGCGTAAATAGATGATGCGAAAATCCGACAAACGACTCTCATGGGACGACCTGGACGCCGTTCTACCTGCAGCCATGATAGTCTGGGAGGCGCGGAGGGTCGTGTTTCTCTTTCGATCGAAGTAGCTTACGAAAATACTGCATCTTCGCGGTGTGACAGTCGCAAGCGTGTGACTTGACGAGGAAGATTTGCTGTCGATTGCTTTGCAGGTGGCGCAGGTGCCCGTACCGGCGTCCGATGGCTTGCAGAGATCGGGGTCAGCGTAGGTGTAGGGAAGAAAGGTTTTTGGTAAAACCACCTTCGGTACGATGACATTCGCGAGTAAAGGCTGCCTCCGACGTGCCCTCCTTGAGTTTACTCTTGCTGGTTGCTTCACAGCACTTCGTTTTGGCGGCGTCATTCGCGCGACGTATAAGTATCACTCGTTCGCGCGGATACCGGAAAGCGGCTGACGTTGTTGTCGAACGTTTGTCGAAGTGGACATAGGTGGACGCGTCGTCGCGCACCCGGGGGGCTCAAGCGAATGTGGGTCCGGAACTAACTGGATTTGGCGTACATTATGCTGACAAACACGGTTGCCTCGTGATACTTGTTCCACCATGATGAGAAGTGCTGCCATTTTGTTCTGGGGTCGTCCGCTGGGCGTGGCGATCTTCTTTTTGGGAGACATGGATGCGGTAGGTGATTTGAAGGATGAGAATACAGAGCCGTGGGACGGGTTCGCGGCGTTTATAGTGTTGCGGGTGTGGGTAGCTCTGGAGCGAAGAGTAACGTGCACGTTGCTGCAGCTCGGGCCATTCCCCCCCCCGAAAAAAGCAGAAAAAAATGTGCCGTTGGTTGCGTGTGCTGGGGAAAAGATATTTCAAGTCCACGAGTGTGTGCGTCTTCTGCAGGCGAGTCTTCTACTGAGTGTGGCGCACACAGGCACGCTAGAGCAGTATTAAGCACGGCCGATATTTCATGTACAAATTAGATGCAGGGAGGACTGTTGTACAATGGCAAGATGGTTGCTTCTGTAACGCTGGCTAGGTGCCATGCCTCTCAGGTCTATATGAGATGCTGGGGAAAGAGAAAAAAAAAAAAAATCAAGGTTGTGGGTGATGCAGGTCGGTGCATATCGTCTGATCGCCTACAAGGGTGCAGAGCCCAATGTGAAGGGATGCGTACGTAGCCCTTTCGATGCTCGTTTCCGGGAGCTGTTTACGCTGCCAATTGACACCCAAATGATACGCAACGGCAAGTTGCAGCGTTTTGGAAACGAGTTGTGCGCATGGGGCAAGAAGCAACCCAGCGACAGCCCCTGTAGGGGGCGCGTGACGGGATATTTATACCCCCGTATTCCATGCGTTGCAGTTTGCGTTCACCCCTAACACAAACTTTGCTTGTACTTTGTGATCCGATGAGGGAGATCACCAACGACATGGGCATGGAACACAGTGTAGATCTAGCTCCCCATCGATGTAAGATTTGTGCCGAGGGGAATCGTAGTATGCGTTGAGAAACTGCGGTCTGACCACGTCTTGGTGTTGCTGGCGGAAGGGGCCGGCCGCTGGGAGGTGAAATATGCTGTCGCACGCGGCGTGCAGATCGGATGGCTTTGAAACTCGGCAAACAGTTGTGCCTACTGGGTCATCATTGACTCTCAAAATTTGGTGGACGTCGGTGCACAGACTGGGGAGTTGTTCATGCGGGAAATGAATGGTTTGGTGTGCCGCGGGCGGCGGAATAGCAATAGGATTTGACTAAACGCTGTGTGTAGGCGCGCTCGCTCTACTCGCCACCAGCGTTGCCGAGACGTGCGGGGCATCCCTATTCTGTCTTAGCGCGCATCGAGCCGCCGCTAGCATGGCGCCGGAACTTGCTCGGTTGTGGAGAACGTCGCGGGAAAAAAAACGTGCAAGTTTGGTCTCCAGGCGACCGGCGCCTGTCAGGTGGTCCTTGGTGCTACACTTCGCTGACGCTATGGATTCATTGCTAATCTATCTCAAGACTATTTTCTTAGATGGAGATGGATTCGATAGGTCGTTTCAAGAAAAAAAAAAAAAAAAAAACGTCACGAGGATTCTGGTATCGGTAGAACCGAAAGACAAAATGTTTGCGTTTGAAACCGGTGTCGCCTCGATTCAAATTCCAACAAAGAGGTCTCGAAGTATAGGAAGGGCGAAGGCACCGCCGCGATCTCGTGCTCGTAGCTTTCGCGAGCTGAGAGAAATCGGCCGCGGTCAACAAATCTCCGGTCGAGATTATTTTCTAGTTTTTTTTGTTTCCCTCAGTTTCCGCACAGCAGTTTCCGAAGCAGAAACTACGGCTGCTGACGACGACGAATCGAATCGACTCTTCCTCGACGGCATACCTTGAGCAATAGACAGCCGTAAGCGCCAGCACTTTAATACGAACTTCTCGTGTTGTCGAGGCCTGGATTCTTCGTAACTGGGGTTAGGCTGCAACAAGGTCGTTTCATAGGTTGTAGATGGGTTTCTTAATCGACCTCACAACTGGCGCTCAAGCTCTTGCGCTCCCGTGTAACATCGAGCATAAAGTTTTGAACCTCGATGCTTCAGAACAACGTTGAGCATAAAGTTCTGAACCACCAAGTTCTCAAGCGCGGTTGCAAACTGTAGCAAAAAAACAAACAAACGTGGCGTTTTCTGTAGGGTATTGGAAGTGCCACAGATCTGACAGAAGGTCTGTGTGGTATCGGAAGTGCCACCGAACTCGTCTGTGAGGTTATGTACGGAAAATGCCCGGAACAATTACCGCCGCTACACTTCTGTAATTACTACCCTACCGATGTATGTCCTTGTATTGCCTCGGCCTCTATGCTGTGTTTCTTTTTTTTTTTCATGACCTCCCTGCCTGCTCTGCTGTGTTGGGTACCTTGATCTCGCTTTGCTGTTGCCTTTGTTTTTTTGTACGGCTGGCTGTCTGCCCATCTGCCGCCTCTTTGCCCTGTTTGCTCCGTTACTCCCATGCCCTGGTGCGCAGTGCCTGGTGCTGGTACGTTACGTTACCCTTTCATTTTTTCTTTCGGCGGGTGTGGGAAGCGTCCTCCTTTATTTATTTTTTTTGTTATTTTTGTTTTGTTTTATTTTGATCGGTGTCCGAGGGCTCTTTTCTCGAACAGTAGGTGCGATACCTGTTCTTTTCTTTCTTTCGATCATTTTGTTTTCTTTTTCCGAGTGGTTTGTATCCTATTTTTGTTTTTTGTTTTCTCGCGGCGTCGTATGTGCCGGGTTTTGAGACCACGGGCTCCCCATTTTTTGTGGACTATAGAGCTAATGTGAGAAACAACAACAACAACAACAACTTTCAACAAATACGAGCAATTTGGCATTTTATTCCCGGACCGGTCTGTTTCTCTCACCTTAGCCGGCAAGTCTTGACCCCTCTGGAAGAGGATCACCAGGAGACCCCAGAACAGCTGCAACGAGTAGTTGTTGAATACCGAGCTTATCGCCTGCGTTGGCCGACAACGTGGCGCCGCGATCAGCCGCGCCACCGAACAAGGAGTGGACAAAGACGAAAAATGCAGACACGAAGCAAAAGAGTAGAAGCGGACGCCAAAACACGTACGAACGCCGTGAGCACGCGTATAGAGGCCGCCAACGTAGCAACGCCTAACGGAAGACAAGAGAGTGCCTCTCTCCGTCTTGAACCGCACTATCACCGACCATTTTCATTGACCAGCCGGCTAGCGCGGTTGACACCAACCGAAAGATGCACACAAACACACACAAGTCCTCGTGTTTTACGATTGGCTTGATATTTTTCGATGACCAGCCGATTGTGCACAGCGCGGAGGATGCACCATCACCCGACTCCGCACCGCACACGCGGGCGGGCGAACGCATCAAGTGGTCACCTGAAGCAGCAGAGTGACAGTCCCGAGCACACCCCCGGCCTTCCGCCCGAAGGCAGACATGGCGATGCGGCCCCCGTCGAGGCTCCCGATCGGCATCAGGTTGAGCGCGTTCACGATGATTCCCGTCACGCCCACGATCGCCAGCGGGTGAACTGCACACACATGCACACAAATCGGTTGCGTTGTGCAGCAGCGGGAGAGCACGGACGCCAAGGCGCACCCCAACAGCATTAGACAGGAAAGGGTAGACCGCAGCAGTGCATGTGTGCATCGTTTCAAGAATTTTCGTGAATTGTTACGAGACAGTCTTCGAAAAACCGAGAGCGAAGAGGCTACTGTTGCGAGGGGTTGAGATACCAGCGGTCAAGCTCCTGGTCTGCATCAAGAGTCGATGCGACGGGTAGAGGGCGGCGATAGGACGAGAAAAATAGTCCTCGTTCCCTCCCTCCCCCCCTCGTTCGAACGAAAACTGCCCTCCCCCCCCC